AGCGGGGATTACCAGCGATTCGGTGGATTACCAGGGATTTCCAGTGCGAGCGAGTGTTGATGTTCAGAACTACACCACAATCCAAGCCATACACCCACCCCATAACCGCAACCAACGCACACCCACACCCACAACTTCTAATATTTTAATCATTCACTAGTAGTTTCTTACCGGACGTTCTCACAAGCAATACAATTCCTATGCCAAGAGCTGTTCCAGCAATTATCAAACCAATTAAGGCTCCAACTAATGCTATAACTGAGCAGCAGCAACAATACCTTAAACAATTCTTTGTTTCATCAATTATATACGCGGCAAAAAATATCTCACTTGTTGAGATCCTCTTCTACTTGTTGATACCTTTGTGTTTCTCGAAAAATGAGTAGTATAATAATAAAATTTGCAGTTGCTTTTATGTGGCTTAAAAGAAGCTCGTGAAGTTGACTTCTTTTTAAATGACTTAGAATAAACTTGTAGGAATTCGTACAAACAGCAGACTTTTGATAAAAATGAATTCAGTTTCGCATCCAATATATACAAACAATGCTGACGAAACATTTATCGTAACAACAATGTGCTCATGCTGACAGCAACATGGATTGCTCGAGAATCACTTGAGAAGTCCGATCTATGTTAGGTTTAAACTTTTTTGAAACCCTCATATCATGCCTTTTGTAAACAAAATTACATAGATATATTCATACGTAAAAAATATTTCAGATTCAGCTGCGCTGATACATTTAGGATATAAATCATATTAATTGCGCAACATGAAATCGTAGAAGTAGTCTATAAAGGTCGATAACTGCTTGTAATGTCAAACATTCTTGTATTTTTTTTGATAAAAATTATTCAGTCAAAAAGATTTACTTATTTAAACACGTTTTACTGCGTAAAATTCTGCACTTTTCATTCTGAAAAAAAACGGTGTTGATTTTTTGCACAAAGAAAGTCTTCAGAGCTCGTTGATTTCAGACTCACTGTTTTAACAAAACAAAATTCTTCTCAAAAACGTAATAAGCTCACATTTTTACTCGTAAAACACGCTGTCTATAGGTTTTGTCTGATTGGGTTCTGAACGATAGGTAAAGTGTAGTCCGAGCTCTCAACTATAACATATAGAGTTTTGTACTTCTCATAAAGACAATGCAATTCGTCGAATCATTACTACAGTTGGCGTAAACAATAAGTATCATTTGAGTTGTTAATCGGACTTACAATTCATGGAAAAAGTAGTATCTTCTGTTCTCAGAAATAGACAATAACAATAAACTTTTCAATGTGCGTATATCAGAATGAACCCGAAAGCAACGGTAGTATAGAAACGTCCACGACGAATAATTTCCACCGAGAAGTTAATCAATGTATATTTATAAATCAAATTACTAAAGCCATATACCTCAAAAGCTAATCTTCATTAAGTAGTGCTGTGCTTCAAAAACTGCTATTGCTTAGATATCGTTCGAATAATTTCTTGAATAAGAGACAGAATTCAAGACTTGGCTTCATACAAAGACTTGTACAAAATGGATTTTATAATCGAAGAATTTCTTTGATCGTTTGATGGGACTTATTGAATAAATTTTTATGAATAATTGAACGTGATAGACATTTTGTACCATTTTTGCAGCGCTTCGTGTGCAGGAGTCTGGCAATAAAGCAAAATTAACGATGAATATGCCGAAATAACTCACAGTAACTTCAATGATCGCTATATCTACGCTTGGTTCCTTACACATATTCAATCAGTTTTGCCTGATTATATTGTCTCAAAGCAACATTGTGTTACTACTATAAAAGGATGTGGGTGTGGGTGGGTGTGGCTGTGGCTGTGGTTGGGTGTGGGCATAGATGTACGGTTTCTCACACCCTCGCCCACACCCACACTAACACCCACACCCACCCACACCCACACCCACACCCATACTCACACCCTCACACCCACACACCCACACTCTTTGAGAAAATTCAGACTACCCATTTTTAAGAATATTTTCGAGCTTTTCCCATATTATTATGGCGTATCGGCTTTTTTTGGAGCCGAATTGACTGAGAATGGATGGAACAAATTATTTCACCTACATTGATATATCTTAAAGGACCAAAGCTAATGTTTTTGTAGCGTTTTTATGTTAAAAAAGCATGATATAACAAAAAACTGCAATATAATCAATTTATCAGTAATATGCGCTTTTCGTCATCAAAATTCAATTTAGGAAATACTCCTAACAACCCCCTGATATATTTCCGATCGAAAAACAACGAAAATATTTTGGACAAAAAACCGGCCTTATCGGAACATGTCCTTTTTATCACCACTGTAATGACAAACTGGTGGAGTGGTTTGCCCTACTGTCGATAATGATATTTATTAAGTGACTTCGTATACAACAGAAGTTTATATATGAGACAGAAAAAAGAGAGACGAACATATGAAAGAAAACTAGATAGAGAGACGGAGAAAAGCAAAAGAGAGATGAATAGTTAGGTAAGACTACCAAGAAAAAGGAGAGCAAGATTAATGACATGTCTTATCAATATCGTCACAATTGGCACTAGCGATTATTCCCTTGACTTGATTTGCTTGAATAACTTTGACTCCCAACTTTTTCAGATGATCAAGTTTGCTTTTAATTGTTTTCATATCGACACCTCTACAAGCATCTTCGATGATGGACGTTTCATACTTCAAATTGAATGCATCAAGAGCACTTGTTGCTACACAATAATCTGTTGCTAATCCAGCAATAAAAACATGTGTAACATTACGTTCTCGAAGTTTATCATCGAGTTTGGTTTTTTTAGCTCTCTCATTATCCATAAATGCTGAATAACTATCAATATCAGGATTGGTGCCTTTCCTAATGCGAATAACTTTGCTCTTTGCTGGTGAAATATATAGATGTTTATGTAGAGCTGCATCTTCTGTTCCTCGAATGCAATGTGATGGCCATAGGATTTGTTTTGTTTTGACTTTTGGACCAGTGTATGTGACTTCATCGAACATTTTTATCTCTCGTTTTTTACCACTTTTTAAATATTTCCTACGCGCTTTAAGATTTTCAAAAAATGATATATGATTTGGCGGATGCCAATCCTGTGTATACACAATAAAATCAAAGGGAACTGTTTGAATTAAATGATTGATGATAGGAATAACTTCGGCACCATTTTGATGAGCAGGACTATTGGATAAAGCAAGAGTGCCAGTAATAAAACAGTTTTGAATGTCAACAACAATTAATGCATAAACATTCTTTGATGACTTTTCATCTAGAATAATACGAGATTTGTACAAAATATTTTATCTTATCTTGTCTAACCTTCTGATGTGCGGAGTGCTTTAAAAGTATATATGATATTTATTATCATGGCAATACTTAAGGCTAATAATTTAAGTGACTTCATATCGAATAACATCGCCGTGAATTGAAATCTTTCAGGTATCGTTGAATCAATAAATGTAGTTTCTTGTATCAATTCTCAAAAAAAGTAAAGACACAAAAACAATTACCTGAAATAAGAGATGAAAATATGTGTTTTGTTTTGTTACGATCGTATTGTTCCCATACAATCGTAAGACGGAGAATAGATACCCTTTCTAGTAAAGTGGTTAATACGTCTGCCCGGTTAGCAGGAGGTGCATGGTTCGATTCCATGCGAAGGGGGATTCTTTTTCTCCGTTCTGTTGTCATTCGGAGATAAGAGATATAACATGTTTTAATAACAATATTTGCTCAGAAAATGGCCTCTATAATGATCATATAAGTCATACTGATTGCGGACATAATTTTAAAAGAGTACCAAGGCTTGAATAACAATTTTATGAAAGACAATGAAACTAAAGTTAAGAGTAATTATTATCTTCCTGATGAAAAACTAACATCAATAAGTACTTGGGTCAATCTAGTAACGATCATTTCAGCGACAGACAAAAAAGACGCTTTCCAATCTATTTAGGGTTTCTCATAGTTAGAATAAAAAGAAACCAATAAGCTGACATCTAACCAGGAATTGGTTTATGATGATATCTCTTATTTACATTTTTATAATTACTAATTGATGACAAGTTGCACTATATGACGATGTACACATGCACATATCCTTCCAGTCTTGTAAATGCAACCAAAACCAGAGATAAGTTAAAATATTCCTCCATCCTAGTTATTGATAAATCAAATGTGCTATACTTTGTCTAAGACCTCTGAACAAATGTATATCTGATTCTATTTCTACATCTTTTTTCTCTTGACTACGAACACATGATTCTTTGTGGACATTGTAACTGTATGACTTTACTTCACTATCAGTTTCCTTATGTTTCTGTTTTTAGACCATTTATGCGAAATATGCTTTATATAATCCATTTAATTAGACAAATAACATGAAGTAAGCAGAATGAAATCCGAACCATATCTTGCTTACAGCTGAATAACGTCCAGAAATTTTTCTTTATCGATGCCAGTTTAGCCCTGATACGCACACCTAGAATTTGTCTAGACAGTAGTGAAATTTTTTTAAAGTGTCTTGTAATCGTTATCTTATATAGGGCCTTCTTGTTTCCTCTATACTTTTGGAACAACTAGTGAAATACGCCTTTAACAACAATCCATCTCATCGATCATGTAAAAAAAAAAAAGAATTACCTTAGAAACAATAAGTTTCATCTATATTGAATTTTGTCGAAATTTCAGTGCTAAGGGAGAAATAAATGACGACGAAACACGCGAAACGTTTCATTTAGACTTCTCCCCTATTAATCTGAAAGTTTTAATTTAGTACAACATATGTAAAAACAGTTCGTTTTCCACAATATTGCTTTTTACATGCTAGTCATCATCAAAACAAAAAGCTTTCTAGAATATTATTTTTTCTATTTTATTAGATTGTAATCTATCCGAATCCTACGTAATCAAAAACTAGTAGTCAGATAGGTGAGCTTTTCAGGATTCAACTGATTAGAAAAGACCAAGCAGTAGATTAGCATGCGTCGTTTTTCAGTTTTCTTATCTTGCAAAAATCAAACCAACTTCCGATTCAACAACCACTTTTGAATCACTTCAAAAATGATATAGGGTCTTAGTTTCAGTGTTACAGCGCTTCTGGGAAACATGATTATTAATGAGTGTTGAGGTATATGTCGATCAAAAATAGAAATTATTTTGGGCGGTCTCCACAACAAGTCATGAATAAAAGAAAACAGAAAAACTCGAAAAAAATTGACACTGATCATTAAAAACCAATAGAAATAGACAACATATGATCGGTGGAAAGAAAATAATCATTGCAAGCGTATTAAAGACACCCAGATTCAAAATATTATCCTATTCATCACAAACAATATCACAAAATTATAATATCAACACGGTTGCTCGTGTCAAAAAGAATGTTTCTAAAATTTACAATTGAAAAATGAACATGTGACGGCAAAATACTTTATCATAGGATAAAATTTATACAGAGTATTTGGGATGGTTGCCGATATATTTTCGATGCATGAGGTTGGAAAGAAAACTAATCCATACTAAGATTTAGGTATATCCTTTGAAGGGATCTTCCTAAGCATATTCTTCGTTACATGCATACTAAGGTCTTTGAGAATTAAATTTTTCTATGACGAAAAGATCGATTTTCATATTCAAAAAGCAATAATATTTAACAATAATTTATTATACTTTCAAAACACGACAACTAAATAATGTACAGGAAGAGACTCGAGTGCAAAAATCTGCAATAGTGTTTGAAAACTCTCGAACTAACCAATAATTCAAAGACTTCCATTAGAAGATTTCTATATAAAAAGTGAATCAATTACTCGTCTACAATGTAATGTGCGCAAGTAGAATAGACACTGGGTGACCAGCAATGTTTTCATTTATTTATTGAGATATAAAAGATGCAAAAAATGTTTAGCTGTTATTTTAAGTGGTTGATAAGTCAAAGCATCATAAGTTCTCGAGATTTCACAGATCAGTTGTAAAGTATAATCTATTAATTTAGATTTCTTTCTAATGTTGACATTTTACACTCATTATAAAAAATTAACAAAGATCAGTTACACTAAACTAAATAGATCTATATAATATCTAGACTACTTCATAAAATGTACAAGTATAACATGTATATTGGAATAATATTCCTTGAAAATATTCCAGTTTTAGTTTATCTAAGAATTTCGTCAACTTATATATACAAGCTCGATTCTCTAAGGACTAATGAGGATCTTTTCAAGTGACCAAAGAGTACAATTATCAACAGATTTATTTCAATGGCATAATAAGCAAATTAAATTGAATATCTATTCCATAGACTGTTTTTGAGTAGAGTAATTTGATTGTAATTTATTAGTTGTATTCTTAAGAGAGAATTTCCCTCAGAAACGATTTTCCATTTGAGCTATGACATAGGAGTTGAAATTCTTAGGGATAATTTGTACTAGTAAGATATGCTTCTGATAAAATTTTCAGTCCTATAAACTGTATTCTGCCGGAGATACAGTTGATCTATGGTCCACTCTTGAAATGACAATAACTCTCTCACGACACGTGCTATACAACTCGGGTTAGTTTCAAATCAAAAACAATGTCAGTGCGCAACTTTTGTCCGGTCAGAACTTTGAAATCCACTTCTGTTCATTTTTTATGAGTATGTTTTATGAGATGACCTTATGATCAGCATAAAAAATGGTTGTCCAATGACAGTATATTTCAATTTTTTCAGCCCGAAAAATAAGTGTAAAAGATCTGCTCGAATAAAAGTTTACTCTCGTTCAAACCTTTAATACAGCATTAGAATATTGGGATAGAGGTCTAGCCTGGAAGGAGAAGTTTCAATTTTTCTGATTGAAAAGTATATTCTGTAAAAATGATAAAAGAATTTTGAAATAGTTTCTTATTCAACTGCAGAGAAAATCATACTAGAATGGTATATTAGTAATTCACTTCAGTGAATCGCTTTAAAACTCGTAAGAGATGAAAGTAGCTAATGCCATCTGACTTTCTGCAGAAGATAAAAATATTCTATTCAATGCTAATTCAAGTAGCAACAGTCTTCCCAAAACTGAAAATCTTGAGAAAATGCAAAAACTTGTCGCAAAATATCGTGGCAGAATCAAAGTTTCATGCCATTAAGTCTTTAAAAATCTAATTGCTTTTCAAAACGCCATAGATATTCTGAAAGAAACAAGATACCAATATACTAATAGATTGACTTAGTAATATTATTTGAGAAAAGAAAGTTATTCAGAATACTGTTGACCTTACAGTCTTGTGAAGTGATTATAGTTTAAGAAGGATGTCACTTACGTTTTATTTTTTTTTTTAAATTCTGTACGTCACAAACGAAACAACAGTGTTCTGTATCGATAATTTTATCTATTCGTAATTGACGCACTATGCTGTCCATATATACCTTCTCAAATTGGTAATATTTTATATGCATTCATTCATGCATGTCAATAAAATGTATATAGTTATTAAACAATACACTGCATCTTCTTTCAGTAAGCAATTATTGTTCTTTGTTTCTTTTCTCTTCCACATGGTTCGAACAACACGAGCTACGTCAATATAGAATCGTTGATTGGCTTTTTAAATGTATAAATGGATCGTCTTCAAATAAGACTCACATTTGGCAGATCAAAAAGTATCTTGGCAAGAATATTATTGAAACAAGTTTTATACACTTTATACCTATAGACTGTCGAAGAGAATGCAGAAAAAAATATATGTATTAATGTTGGTAAAAGAGAAAAGAAGAAAAAAAAATAAGATTAGAAGAATAAAGGAAGGATAGTTGCTACTTGTTTCACTGAATTTTATTTTATTTTCTTAAATAATCATCTATCTTTGAATCATAATATGAATTAAATAAAGCAATCAATTCGATTTGTCGTTTCGACTTTCATTTATAATATCTATCTCTATAACCTTATTACTTCACGTGCTAACATCAATGATTCTATTGGTATCAGACTGAGTGCCTTTCTACTATTTATTTATTTAAATGAAACGTGAACAATATACTGGTTATTTTAAAAAGAACTATTTTATCGATATCATGTTAATATGCAATAGATACTACTAGAAAGTCAAATCAATTAAATAACACATTTATTTTATTCTCAAATTATATTATCAACATATTTATATTGAATTCTCTCTTGTTAAGGAGTAAATAGTGTACTATTAAATGATATTGCACTCAAATCCTTCAATGATACTATTCGGCGAAAATCTGAAGCTACGAAAAACAAGGAGGAACCAAAGACGAAATTCGCTCACTTCTTTATGGATCCATGTTCTGTAATTTTCAAAACTTCCCGATCTGTAGATGCAATGGATGTAAAAAAATTTTCACATGGGTTTTTTTGTTACAAAACAACCAACATTAAAAATATAATCGTATTGAATTTTTAGAGA